ATATTGCTTGCTTTCAGATCTCGATGAATGATTTTTAAACGCGACTCTTCATGAAGATAAAGGAGGCCTCTCCCGATACCTTCTATAATCTTATATCTGGTTTCCCAATCCAATTGTGGTCGCTCATTAGGATCTATAAATTCAATTAATATCAAAAAAAATTCATAGGAACCACAACTGATGAAAGGAGATAAAACCTTGTTCTATTGATTTAATGAATTAAACAGTTTACATTGGTTGGAAGAGAGGTAAAGGACATGCATACCAAATAAGTATTTCTCGAGACTCGTCTTGGGGAGATATTCATAAACAAGCATCATTTCGTTTTCTTCCAAGCAACAACCCAACAATCTCACGAGGTTCTTGTGCTGAAGCTTGGCAACCAAAGCAACCTCATTCTTCATTTCTACAAATCCTTGTGTTGAAGTTCTTGAAAGTCGTTTTACTGCTATCTGTTGTCCATCTTCTAATAAACCCTGAATAAACATTTAACCAAATAGTATTTTTCTATGCGTTGCTTCGAAAAATATAAGTTTATCAAAGTTTAGTTTGTATCAAAACTGCAACAAAAATAATAGTGAAACACTTTCCTACCTTATAAACTGGCCCAAATCCACCTTCTCCCAGCTTATTTTCTTCAGAGAAGTTATTTGTTGCTTTTATAATTGTATCCAGATCAAATAACAAAGATTCAGTATTTCTCATGTTCTTCTCCTTGGGCACAAGGTGGCCTAAAGCAAGTTTTGCTTTCAGTAGAATATATTATCGAAAAACATTATCCTATAAATATAATGAACTAGTTTTAAGTTTTGCCTGTAAAGGAATAGAAGTGATTCTAACCGGTTGGCAGTCTTTTCAGTGCTCTCTTCTTTCTTAATTTCAATAGGACGAAAACACACAACGCCGCCGAGGCTAAAGCAATCGGAAGGGCAATGATAAGAATCTTTTTTACAGTGTTGCTGCTTTTCGCTGGACAAATTAAAATCGAACATGCAGAAAGTATTAAATTCTGATTTCATCATCTTTTTTTTTTTTAAATCTAGGAATTAAGAGATTAAATCTCGACTATAATTTGTATGGAAAAAATAATTTGATTCGACTCAAGTTGAGATCATAATGACTTAACCTAGGTGTTTAAATAAGTCGAGTTCTTTTTTAATTTATACT